TACCGTCCTGTTAAACTGGTGTAAAATGGAGACCTGTTAATTATTTTGTACTATGGCAGGATTGCTGATCTTTTCTTTCTCTAAGGACTACAGGTAAATCTTACCAATTTCTTACATTCAGAATATATATATCTTCACTTTCCTGTATGCTGTTTAATTGTTCTTAATTATTATTATTATTATTATTATTATTATTATTATTATTATTATTAAAAGGAGGAGGAGGCCTGGTCTGAGCCAAGGCCGTGGGGAAGATAACCCTCAGAACCACTAAGAGATAACCAACAGATATACTTTACCTACTGTAAGATCACATAAGACGGCTAGTTGAATACAACTAAGTAACGAGTCTCTCATGCAACAGATGGAGGACAGTCTCCACCACTCGCACTTCTTTCACTGAATACACCACTCGGCTTTATTGTTTCACATACAGTAAATTCTGTGTAACCAAGACTTGGGTATTGAATCATGTTACACAAGAAAACTGCATATGAGAAACACTGGAAATAAGTCACTGTCTGACTTTTTTTGGGTTATCCTAGGTTCTCTGCACATATGCTGCTATGTATGATAATTCTATGTAATTGTATTTGTGTATACCTGAATAAACTTACTTACTAAATACACAAGTAGTGGCAGCGGTGGGATCGTACCATATTTGTATTCTTGCAACACAAAGTGGTGTGCATTACTGACAACATGACTGCTCAGATACCGGGCTGTTGTTTGCAGATGAATGATCGAACCTCCGTCACTCTGCTCTGCATGACCCATGCAAGTTTAGTGCTTCACGAATACAACAAAATTAAGTATTTATTTATGAAAAGTTGACTGAACACACGGCTTTGTCGTTGTAGTGCAGAGGTCGTGCACTTGTCTAACAACCGAAAGGATCCGGGTGTAATCCTGGGGGGGTGGACAACTATGACATGTGAATTGAGAATAGCAAACTAGCCAACACCTGCAGCCTATGTTACCTAGCAGTCAATAGGGGTGTTAGTCAATGGTATTGGCGGTATTTGATATAAACCCCAAATGATTGCATTTTTGGGTTTATCGTGTTACGGGGGTTACTTTTTTTTTGTCTCTTTATCTTTGTAGAGTAAGAGAAGGTGGGAGATTTTAACACGGAGGCGGTGGAACGAGGATCTGTTACAACGATGTTTAAAATAGTTAATCATATGCAGTAACGTTTAATGAAGTTATATTAAGCAAGAGTCATTTGTCATGTGGTGATGTTTCGGACAGTTAACGAAGTAACGTCTGTTATGTTGATGTTTGTTAACAGTTATCTGAAGTAACAATCCTCACTTGTGGTTTATCATTTATCTCAAGGAACTTGCATCTTGTACATTTATCTCCAGAAACTGATATCATTGCTGATGCTTTGCATGGTTCTTATGGAAACCTCGTCTGGCAGCATCTCAGTTCACTGGTTGAGCTGTAACTAAGATAACTTCAGCCTTTGTGTTATTTTTCACATTACTCTAAAACTAAGCAATAGTTTATCTATGAGTGGGACAATTCTTGGGGGTGTTTTGAGTGAGGGGGGACCCACCAAGGGGATGACTTTCCCCCTTGTTTACCCCGGCAGGTACGACCACCGGAATTAAAATTTCGAAGGCTAATACCGTTTGGCAATGTCTCGGCGATCGAAAGTTAATTAGTAAACAGGAAAAAGGTTAAAGGGCTTTTAGCAGGCCATCTATACATCGCTCCCTCACCAACTTAAATCCTACGCCGATGTAAATCAGTGACTCAAGAGGGGAGCATGACTATTGGGGCAAAATATCCTTTATGTTTGTACGCAGTGAAAAAGCTCCCTAGTGAAAGATTTCTGTAAACCCGTCCTGTCTTCATTTTGTGGTAATGCCTTTTTTCAAGCTCGTCTCCTTCTTTGTCAGCCAAAAACCTGAAGAAAATTTAGTCTTGAAGGGTGTTTTCGGGGTCAGCCCCCCCGCGGGCCCGGTCCCAGACCCTCCCCTTTATGTTTTAAAAGATAAAAAAAAAATTGGGTTTTACAGAGGGATAACAAGGTTACCCAAAAAGGGTTTACCCTCAAAGCTAAAAAAAAGTCGTTGGGGTCATGTCTGGGGATTGTTTACCTTGTGATTTTTGTGTTCTAAGCAGTGCCTCTTCTCTCTCTCTCCCCCCTCTCTCTCTCTCTCTCTCTCCTCTCTCTCTCTCTCTCTCCCTTCCTTTCGCTCTCCTCCTCTCTCTCTTTAAAACTAACAACATTTGGGTAAAGGGTGGAGTTGGAGTCATTTGGGAAGTTTCCTATATTAAAGGGGTTTTTCCTTATTTTTAGTAAGATTACTTTTTATTTTTGATTAAAGTTAATTTTTCTATTATTATGTCGCTTTTCTTGGTTTCCAGCTTCTTATCGATAATGTTTCTTTTGGTCAAAAAAATATTTCACAAAAA